TTAGTTCTACCCCACATATACATACATACGTACGAGCATATGATTATTTCCACCTTCTGGTAATGATTAGAATTAAAAAACAATATTTTGTACAAGTATATCCATAAAATTCCCCTTTCTCGTAGTGCCGTCCCATCTCTAATAAAAACATACAAATATGTATATTTGACTGCAAATCCTACAGATAAGGGCATGGCGCCTGCCTCTAGCTTAAGCTGCGTGAGAATGGCGCACATTATTCGCAAGCTTTCACTTTTCATTTGGTTTTTGTTTGTTTTTTTTTTTGGTTAGAACAAATTTAGTTTCTCATTCTTTAAGCTGTTTTGGTATAATTTCATCAAATCACAATAATATCTGAACATTATTGCTTGTGGTAAACATATAAATCATGGCGTTGTTAGATTTATTCTGCAGATAAGCGCAGCGAGCCCAATACGGAGACCCGAGTACCGAGTGACGAGTACGCTGATAAGCCTCCCCATATATTTGCATATATGTAGTAGTACATGGCCTGACTGAGCTACATCTGTTCTCGGGGAAGTGGAGTGCGCACACAGCGAAAGCCACAGAGGCCCAGGGAAATTCAATCTAATTTCAGTCAAAACAAAGCACTCAGCATACTACAACTATTTGGCGCAGCTGTCATAAATTATGTTTGTGATTTTATTTCATACTCTACTATGGTCAAGAGGGTAACTCCAATCGATCGCAATGCACATTTGACATCATTTCTTTAATCTTACATAATACTAAGATGTGACTGGTAAAATTCTACTCCCAAATGGGGGAACATATCCTGTCTAAGCATTTTAAAAACAACCCCCAAAAGTAGGCGCAACTTTTATGATAGTCTGACGCTTTAAATAAAAACTCAACAATTTTGAGAAACAATATTCGGCATTATACAATTACCTTTTAACGATAACAATACATAATCGAAGCAATCCGGAAATATATTTCTGCAGGTACTGCAGAAGCGCAAGAGACGATGTCTTATAAATTAAGGATCTCCTCTTCATAGTATTTATATTAGCAATTGTTAAACTTTTGTATGCTAAGAATGATATTTAGAGATGATTTAAAATATAATCAATTTATAATTCTTATTCAATTATTCGTATCCTCGTATATTTTTAGTTCTCTTAATTTAAAATGAGGGGCAGAAAAAAAATCAAAACATTGGATTCAGCAAAATGTTACACATTTCGGATATCGATTTGAAGGTTAAGCCCTAGATAGAGAAAATGAATTCTTAACTTCAATTCAATGAACGCCACAAAGGACGAAGCCAAGCCAAATTTCGTATACTTTACCAACAAGAGGTCATCATCAAATCTTTAATTACCATTTATAAATTTCATTTTTGGTCCGCTATATTTATTATCGCATCTGACTGTTACTCTAAAGCAATGCTTCTGTAACATTCTTTCTGTTCATAAAAATGCAGCTGTTAGTGTATTTAATCGTCGTCGCATGAGATCCATTGTTTTTAATGTCGGTCACCACGCGGAAAATCAGCCTAAGAGTTACAAATATCGTGCTTTATGTTGTGGTTGGAACTCAGATAGCATCGCTTCCAAAATATTTGCACAGTGCAACAACCGCAAAAACAGCCACTCAAGGTTTTACAAAATTTGGTGGTGGGGCTGTGCAGCCATCAGAGCTACAATATCGAAGTCATTGTACGCACAATTCTCAAGTTCATATGCAAATTGAAAAGCCCAAATCAGCACATTAGATTTATGATATATGGACCGCATGGGCGCATCAATGATTTATGTATGTTTGTTATACGATTCTACTTGTATGTCACATAAATGGCAAACGTATCTTAAGGTGGCTCAGTATTGACAGCAGCTGGGGCACTTCCGGTAGGTCGTTGACATCAGGAAAACTGGTAAAAAGGTAGTAGAAAGGGTTAACTAAATTATGGGCCATCTCCATGTGGCTCACTTCTAAATGCATTTGCAATGTGCCTTCAAACTTGATTCGCTGCCAGACCTTTGTATGTCATTTATTTTCGATAGATGTACTCGCTGCTCGGCTTGCCCTCTGGTGTCAGAAGCAATTTGCGCAAATGTTTTGCACTTGGTATGAGAAATAGAGACATGCCAGGCTAAAAATGATTTCCTCTTGCCTAATAGACGAATTTGTTTTAAAATGACAAGCGCATGTCCGCCTACGCTCGTGGACGGACAGCTCGAATGTGCTCACCTGGCACAGTTCGAAATGTTGAACTTAGTCAGACAGTCGGTCAACAATATAAAGCATTTAAATCGAATTTATTGCGTTTCGTCAAGCCCAGCAAACAGTAAAGAAAATAACAAAATAAACACAAAACTGTGCCTCTATGCCAACAATCAAAATTCGTTCTAATGACTTTTGCCATTTGCTTGGTATTTGTATCTGTATTTGTGTTTTAGTTTGTGTTTGTGTTTCTGTTTCTTTTTATTTTCATTCTGTTGCTGTATCGTACGTGTCGTGAGCGAAAATTGTTTTTTAATAATATTTAATTATGCAGCTATTCGAATTAACGCTCTTTTTATTGAGTCGCTTTATTTCGCCATTACGGAAGCAACCTGACATTTAAGGTAACTCGTTGTCGGCTAAATTGAAACGAAAGAAAAATCCATGAGCGACTTTGCCAAATCTATTCACACTAGTTTTATGTGCCACATAAGGAGAAAGTATATTTTTAGAATATACTATAAGTATCAGGTTAATGTGCAGGAGATACTATAGTTAAAATGCCTTTATTTCGTTTTACTACTTTAGTATTAATATCAGAGCTGTTAGATCCGTCACCAACCATTTTAGAGCTCTTCCATTGACTGGTATTTCCATCAACTCTAATACAAGTATACTTGTACTTATATTTGTTTCTGTCCATTTTTCCAAAATTCCAACTGTGAATTACTATGAACTCTCTCGAGTTGTTTTGCACGCATCGGTGGCTCGGTGTTATGTAAATTTAATCCGTTATGAGTTGATATAATAATTATTTAATATGCATTAATAATTGGCATGCCAAGTTAATTCCCACACCAATTGTCAAATTCCTGTCAAATTGCTCTCCATATGTAGACAGTTTGTATATGCATTTAATGTGTACGGGTGTGCATATAAAATATCAGAGGCCTTTGCGACATTATTACGCATAGCGTTCAGTGATTCACAAAATAAACAAAATAAAACGCGCTTTTTTCGGGTGACCGACTCGTTGAGCGGCGCATCCGCTAGACCTGCACGTTTCCGCACATGTTTGGGTTCGCGGCTGAGTTTTTTAAATACCCACATGCCGATTTTGAAAAATGCCACTGCCACACTTTCGAGCAAACAATGTAGTTGGCACTGATACCGCGTGCACAATATACTATATACAAGTATATCGATTTAAAATGTTTGTACACACACGTATACTATATACCCCTAGTCTGTTCTATAATCGAATGCACCTTACTGTACTTGGCTATCTACTATATGTTAGTGTAAAGAACTTAAAGTCATGAGTCAGCTGAATTAGTTAGCTAACTTATATTGTGATAAGCCCTGATATAAGTATGTCTAGTGCTTACTCACATCGCTTTGGTGACCTCACTTGCCAACAAAATCAAAGAGTGAACGAATTCATTCAATAATCTTTTTTACTCATACGCCCCATTTTCAACTTTGGCTAATGCCGCCATATTAGCCTAATCTTGTGTCGCCACTTCAAGTGATCGAATACAAAATGGGAGATGGAAAAAAACTTGGCTCGAGTAAAGCGGCTGGGACTGACTTCTTCTACTTACTTGTATTCGAGAAATCAGCAGCACACTAGTCGCCAGTGGCTGCCGAAAGAACCGAGCTTTGTGTGATGGTTCGTACTTGGTACCACTTACCAACTTACCACTTACCATGCTTAACTGACTATAGTGTATATATGTTCGTACACAGTTGCAGACAGAGCTGCCCCGCAGTTTCTGCCGCCACTTGTGACTATCGAAACTTTGATATAAAAAGTACAATTAATTTCCATTTTGTGTGAGACACGCATATACTTACTATACTATAGTATATGTAGTATAGTGCCAAGACACGAAAGAGCATTTTATGAGCGCGTGTCGAATGAATCAATTAAGAGTGCTTTGGTTCGAGCACTCACACTCACACTCACACTCGCAACTAAATGAAATGTTCTACTTGTGTTCTTGACTTCAGTCTCGAATGGCAGCCATTGGACCGCTGAAAGCTCTTTAGAGGTTTGGGCGAAAAGTTGGCAAAGTTCGATGTGAAAGTTGTCCGGTAATTAAGAAGCAAAGCTGTAATTAATATTGTACTTACTTGTGTACCTAAGCGTGTAGCTGTCCGCACAAAAATAAACAAAAACCTTTTATTAGTAGCTAAAAATGAAGACGCGAGGTGCGTTTCCTTTACTCATTCATTAGCTCCATAAGTGAATTCTGATTGTTTTAAGAGAGTTCGTTTAATGTTAATGTTTTACTCGAATGAAATAGTTATTCCGATTTAGCTTTTCTAAAATTTGCCTTCATCAGACGATCTGTTGATTGGAATAATCTGCTTTGAACTGAAACTGAAATGCAGGCAAATCAAATTTTGTTCTCGAAAAGGAAGATTAAAATGTTTGCTGGAATCAATGTGAGGCTGCTAGTCGCTGTCGTTGATTTTTAAAAATAGTGCTAATTAGGAAATATCTTCCATCAGATGGCAATTTGAAGCCTCCTGTCTTTCTCTCCCATACGATCCCAAAGAGCGTAGTTCGATCTTTGGCGCATACAGTGTCCTCCACCCGACTATATTTCAATTCAGGCTCAAGATGCACACTCTTCAGCCGCACCTCGCTTGGAACTCTGCACAATTTATCACACATCCCGAGTAGATACATACAAGTACTACTAGTATTATGATTGCCACTGCGTGGGTACCTAAAAAACGAGTTTGCTGCTGAAAGTATAAAAAAGAGTCCAGAGGCACAAGAAGGCAATAAAAACTCACAATAATTAATTTTTTTCTTAAAACACATATTCTTTTATTTGTATAGTTTGTGTTGTGTTTGTTGTTGTTGTTGTTGTTGTTGTTTTGAATGGGTGGTTTTGTTGTATTCTCTTCTATATGTATGGGTATACTCGAATATTTTAGCTGAGAAACTAGAAAATACTTGTTATAAGTTGTGTCTCTGATGCTGCAGCCAATTATTAACATTTCTTTCTTTGTTTGTTGCATAAATATATATCTTTTCGTTAAAAGCTAATTTGTCACATAGAATTTTTTGTATGCACGCTAAGCATAGCGGAGTTTAATTGATAAAGACAATTGAATTATTTGAAAAATAGCACTATTTAGGTTGTATAGTATGTGTATAGTGGGTTATAAATTTATCTTATGAACTATTAATACATAGCTTTAAGTTTTTAATGCATTTCGAAATTTCCATTCTCTCTGCACAGCATCACAATATTTGCTTCCTTTCTTTGTATATAGTAATTCCTATGTACTTGTGGTTTGTCTCCGACTTGGCTACACACATTAACGTATACTATACATATAAAATATAATTTTTAGAAATATAAATTCGAGGTTGGTTTTGTTTAGTGGTTTTTGTTTGGAAATTATAAAAAAGGCCTTTTGTTGTGTATACTTAGTATGTATGTATGTATGTATGTACAAGTAGTAGTTTATAAAGCAATTCAAAGTGGCAAATCAAAGCAAGGCAAAGAACTTAAACGCTCGAAACGGCGCATCGGCACATCAACCGGGGCTCGTATTAGTCCGTATAAAGGTCAGCTATGGCTATGAATTTCGCATGCGCGACAATAGCTCTTCTCTTCTTCTTCGTCTGCTATGCCATACAAGTATAACTTGGGCCGCTGCCGTTTAGATAGAGAGTAGACAAAATGCGGGGCTCAGTGCGTTGCTTTGTTTAAATTAAAACTAATGAGGTATTTAGCTGCACGCAATGCGGTTTCGAAAATTCTACAAACAAATTGACTTCAATGGCAGAGCGCGACAGCTTTTCAGTTGCATTTAACTTGAATGACATGAAAGAAAAAGGTCTATGTATGCATGTATGTACTTGTATATGTATGTATAGCTGACTAACACACTGACCGATTCACTGACTAAATGGCCAACTGACTGACTGACGGACAGAGACAACAAGTTTTCAATATGAAAACATGCGCTTGCGCAGTGTTTGGCGTGTGGCAAAAAAAAAAAAAAAAAGTTATATCATACCGCTTAGCACAGTTTGACAAGCACTGTGAGCACTGGGCACTAGGTGCCCAGCTAGTTTATAACTACATATGTATGTATATAGTATAGTATAATTATATGTCGCATGCTTTGCACAGTTACTTACGCTAGTTAACTTATGAATTGAATGTATAGAATAGCTGTTAATTGTATAGTTTTTTCATTTAGCAAGAATGTTTTGGAGTAGATTTAAAGCTTTTCGTGTTTCAGGTTTGTCTAATAAATACATTTTATGTAGCAAGTGTGTTACGGTGGAGGCAGCTAACTAAAATAAATAAATAATTGTTTGGGTTTCTCTAACAATTGACTTTTGTGACAAGCTTAGATACTTCGAAACTGTGCTTTACTTATACAACTTGTATTTGGTTTTAAACGTGCGGTTAAACGTCATCATCATTATTATTATCGTATGCATTATTTTTATGCACTTAGGTACTTCGATTACTTTTAAACTTGGCTGCTTGGTTCCTGTTTACAGTTTGATATACTCGTACATCCATATAATGTATTACTATATAATAATCGTATGTATATGTTTGGTTAGCGACTTGTACACAGTTGTTGCTGTTGCTGATGCTTTTGTTAGCTTGCCCTAGACAGTTGTTTTACAAGGTACTTGGTTGAGTTGGTTTGTGTGTGTTTTTTTTAGTGTTATATTATAGTATGTAAGCTATGGTCGAATAGACAAATAATTTGCACACCAATTTGCCCAATTTCAAGAGCATTTCATTAGCTTCTAGTAACGTCAAATTCTTTGCACTTAAACACAATTTGTATGCATACTATTTGCCTGCATGTACATAGAGCTTAACAAGCAATTTGTTTCGTTTTGTTTACAATTTTTGGTTTAATGAGAAGCTTCTAGCACAGCATTTACTATATAATTAAAGTAGATTAAATTTAGTTAAACTTGTCTTTGCTACAACTTACAAATTACTCAATACTGTTCAGAATTCTTCAGCACGCTGGAGGATCGCTCCCAGCCACCTTCACTTAGACTTAGACCTCCGTCGGTTCACTTGCCTCCTTGACGCCCTGTGCGCAGGACTGCAATTTCTTTGAGCTGCGGAAAAACATGTCGAAGAGTCCGCGACGCGGTTGAAACTTTGGCGGCGCTATGGTAATGTGCTCGACAATGGTGATGCCCCGTTGCAGCTTGGGTCGTGGGGGCCGCACTGGTGGTGCCACAGGTGGTGCCAGCTCGCAGTCCATAGGCGGCTCATCCGACTCAGCCGAGGACTTGCCGTCGCGGGAGCTGCCAAAGTTGATGATGGTGCTGCAGCTGCTGTTGGGTCGCAGCGTCAGCGTTGTTGCATGCACCGGCACGGATGTCGACTGCATGGCGGTGGTTGGTGTCGCGTAGTTGCTCACTAGGGAGCTCTGAGGGGTTAGATATTTACAGGAATTGCTCGAATACTGCGATAATTTGCTGCTGTTGCGCTGCAGTTGAGCCATGCTGGTGTTGTTGTTATTGCCAGCACTCGTCCCGTTAGTCTTGACGCTGCTGCTGCATTGCCGTTTCAGGGCAGCCCTAGCGTCGAGGCCAAAGAGTCGCTTCACGCCACGCCTCACGCGCTTATTGCGATATGCGAAGATGAAGGGTGAGCTAAGATTTCCCAGCAGAATCATGAAGATGGCCAGCTGTGTGGAGCCGCCGAAGTTGGCCGCTGATAGACGTGCCTGAAGAAGTACTAGGAAGCCAAAGGGCAGGTACGATACCAGGAACATGATTACGACTAGTATGCTGATGCGTGCTGCACGGGACTCTTCGCGGTACTTGAACAGCGAGGAGGCGTTCGAGAGGCGATGGCGCAAGGAGCTCATGTAGCTGAGAGCCTTCGGAGAGGCGTGTATGGCGGGAATTTGCAGCGCATGGCTAGCATTGCCTTGCTGACAAGATTGTAGATGATGCTGCTGCTGCTGCTGCTGATGACGCGGTGAGTTGAAGTGCGGATGATGCTGTTGCTGAAGCTGAAGCTCATGCTGATGAGGCGACGAGTACGATACGTGATGCGGGACAGGGCCCAGCAAGTGGGGCGAGTTGCACTCGTCGGAGAGCGAGTCCTGACGCAATTGCGTGTATTTCTGCAGATTCGGCGATGAGTGCACCTGCCGTATGCCTAGCAGACGATGCGACTCACGCAAGTCCTGCGAAGATGTGCCCAGTAGCGGCAGCTGACGAGCCGAATAATTGCGCTTGATCTCCCCACTCGCTGTCTGCAGTGTCAGCAAGATGTTCTGATTACGATCGGCGAGAGAATGCTCTGGCACTGGAACCAAGTGCCCAGTAGTGCTCTCGGCATCGACATCATCGGAAGCACCATCATCGGAAATTGTGGGCAGCAGCACCTTAGCTGCTGAATCACGACGCAGACAGCTGGGTGAGCTTTTGCGCTGATCAATTTGCATCTGCAGACCCCCAGTAATGGCTGCTCCTCCATTGTTGCTGCCAGCGCCATGTGAGGACGCCGAGGATATGGAATGACGATGGACGCACAGGCTATTCGAGTACTGAAGAGTGCCCGCATGTGGCTGATGTGTGAGATTTAGTGCACTCTGGAGCAGTGGCGATGAGCCGTTCTGGCGCATGCGCAGCCCATTGCCTCGAGCCTCGCTGAATATGCGCCAATACATGCCGCACACAAAGCCGAAGGGCAGCAAGATGATGACAATGAAGTACACGCATGCGTACACAATGCCAAAGATGCTGTTCGTGGAGCTTATGTTGAAGTAGGTGGCCGCAAAGCGACGCTGCTTGCTCAGCAATGTGTCCGCCTCAAAGTCGAGGACGCGGAAAGCGGACAGTGCGCCAAACAGTATGCCAATGGCCCAGGTCAGCGCGATGAAGACCCACGTCTTCACTCCCGATATGCGACTTTGGTAGCGTAGAGGATCCGTGACGGCGCACCAAGTGTCGCCGACGACGAGCAGAACCGCAAGAGCGCCCAACGCAGCGGTCATATCAATCGACCAGCAACGCAGCTCCACATGTTGCTGAGACGCTGGCACTGACGAAAGCAGAAAATGTTGCTGTCGCTCTCGCTCTCGCTGTTGCTGTTGTTCCCCCGCCGCACCCGAAGCGTTGTCCAACACTGCACTGAGATTATCTTCCTCGGTTTCAGTGATGACAATGCCATCGATGCGTTCATCGATGGTGAGCTCCCGACAAGAGGTGCTGTTGCACTTGTATATTGTCTCGATGGTCTCGCCCTTGCTCACATTCTGCACCTTCTTCACGATGATGCCATCCTGCTCGACCAGGCGTCCATTGTGCCGAATCGTCATCTGATGGTTGCCCGGCTTCGAATAGAATTCAATGCTATCGGCATCGCTGTTGCCGCTGCTCAGCGTCGGCCCCACCAGGGCTTGTAGCGATTGCTGTCCCGTACCGCTGAGAAATAGCGTGGGCGCCAAGATGCAGCACACAATCAGATTGATGATGAGCAGATTGATGGTGAAGCGATTGGCGGTGGTGCGCAGGCCGGGCGTCACCCAGAACGCGCACAGGGCCAACAGATTGATGATGAAGGAGATGAGCAGCAGCGACAATATGAGAAAGTCTATGGCCATCCTTTTGGCTCGATTCAAATTTGCCGCGTTGCTGTTGCTGTAGCTGTAGCTGTTGTTCTTGTAATTGCAATTGTTTTTGTAAGTGCTGTTTATGTATTTGTTGTTGTTGTTGTTGTTGTGTTTGCACGCACATCACTTTACAGTTTTAGAGTCACTCGATTTCGCCACATTCAGGCAACTTGCTGCTTTTGGTTGTTTTATTTATTTATTTATTTATTTTTTGTTTCGTTTAGCTTTTGTTCGCTCAACTCTTTCTTCTCCTTCTATTTCTTCTTCTTGTTTTTTGATTTCGCGCTTATGACACAGTTAAAAATTTCACTTGCACACACAGTTCATTTCATTATTAAACATATTTTCAGGTATTTATTTTCGTATTTTGGGCCAATTTGGTAAACTCAATTGAGTCTCGAGGTTTGTTTCTTACAAACGCTTGCTAATTTACGCGCGAAGCTCGTCTAGATCGGTCGTAGGAGAAACGAAAATTCAACTTGCTACATTTCTTGTTTTCTGTATCTTGTTGTTGTTGTTGTTTTTGTTGTCGTTATTGTCGCTTTTAGCGTGTTCCTTCTCCGACCACGACGTTCGATCGATCTTCACTACGAAGCGTTTCAAGCACAACTGTGGAGCGTGCGGCGCGCTGCGTTCAAAATATACGCGACCCGCTGGCGAGCGTAAGCGGTTGCGTGGCCAATTGGCCGGCAATTTGTTGGGAGCGCAGAGCGCGAGTGTTGCGAGCGAATTGAGCGTACTGAGCGCGATTTACACAAACGAGCGGTTGCTCAGCGATTTGTGTTGTTGCTGTCCCTGCTGTTGCCGCTGTTTGTGGGTCTGTGTGCTGCTGGCGTGCAGCAACACCAACAACAACTGCTGTGATTTTTATTTCCCACGCTCTGTACCGCTCAATAAAGTGCCAAAGTCTGCCGCAACGACTTTGAATTTATGAATGTTGCCGCCACTGCCGTTGCTGTTGCTGGCTTAAGTGCTTCTGCTGCCGCATCGACAGCAACATTGTTGCTGGTTTGTTGCCAGGCAGTCTCGCTGCCTCTACAGCTTTATCAGTGGCTGGCTGCTGCACTGAATACTTGTCTTTGCTAGTTGCTGTTGTTGTTGTTGTTATTGTTATTGTTGGTACTGTTGCTGTAAATGCTGTTGTCCTAGTTGCGCAGAAAATTGTATAATCTGTTTGCAATTGCAGGCTGCTTCACTTCAGCCGCTAGCATTGCATCATATTGTTGCTCTTATTGTTGCTGTTGGTGTTATTGTCGTTGCTGGTGGTGGTTGTGGTGGTGGCACATTTAACAAGCTGCGTTTGCCTCATTCACATCCACAGCATCGACACTGTTGAACATTCAATGCAATTTACGTGGCATGCTCTATTTTCTTTGCCATAAAAATTGCAATTTTATTTCGAGACTTTTGGGCTGTTTGTAGCTATTGCCTTTGTTGCTGCCACATAAATAAACAATCAAATTTTCGTGCAAGTTTTTGTTGTACGCTCCCTTGGGGCTTTCGTTCTAGCTGCAGGCCTTTCTGCGTTTCTGCCAGCTGCTGGAATTCTCAACAGGCAACCATGTACAAAGACTGAAATGAAAGGGAGATAAAGAGAAAGAGAGGCAATGAATGAGTGAGATAAGCCATAGGTTTTCGGACTAACACTATATAGTATGTATACACGTATACTCGTATAATATATGAACATATAATAATCATTATTGTGAAATTAAAAACAAATACAAGTAGTCAAGACATTCGTCGATGAGGGGGCATCATTTTGCTTAGAACTAAAAGTAAACAAACCATAAATTATGTACAGCAGCTTCCGCATAGGGTCTGCCCATTGGGCATACGAGTATGAATCACACACACACACACACATACTAGTGTATATACTCGGAGACAACGCAATTTGCATGTCATTACAATTTTTGTAAGCCAGGCACGCGTCTTGATTATGCTCAAGTAGCTAAGCAAACAATTCTTATCTGCCCTAAACACGCACACACACACACACACACACACACACAACTACATCCACCCTCAATCTCACACCCATCCCAGTGGCTGGCAACAAAATCGCCTGATAACAACATTGCAGTGTAAATTTGCCACAATTGTGAAATTGGCTTCACTTTTTGATGATAGTATAATAGAAATACGTACATATATAGTGTTGTATATTCATATGTTTCTGGACATACATATATAATCATATATTTAGCGCAGTTTCAAGGTGACTAATGCAAGTGCACGCCCCACACACGTGCGACTCTTCTTCATGAGTGTTTACCAATAAAATTAAATATATACATATATGTTTGTAACTACGAACTGCCACCCCCATTAAAAATATCAACAGTGCATCAGTAAACTACGACGCCGATCAGCTGCTCGCAAAATGTTCAGACCTGAGCTCAGTCTACAAATATCGTGTTGACCGGCGGGACTGGAGAACAAAGTTCACATTTTTTGGGGGCCTGTTCGTTCGAACATAACAAGATCAATGTTCATAGAACATGCGACTGAGAGTGCGACTTGCTAATTTCCGCTCGAAGATAGACAATTAATTATTATACAAACAATATGAGGTAACGGCTAATGCGCAATTATTATGCCCCCTACTTAAAGAAATTTGAGAGAAAGTCGTCAGTTTTGGGCTCAAACATGCATTACCAAAAATTGTCCATCAGAGGTTTTTCCAACTAACCGAGCTTACTAAAAAAGTATCAACTTCCTATTTATATTAAATACTTTAGATGCAATCAAATCCTAGATCTTAAAAGGCAATTGAGGAAAACATATGTACTCGTACAATACATTGTCACCTCAAACAAACATTACATCAGTATTTATTCGCGGTCGCGCTGATAAATACATACAAGTATGTACTCGAAGTTCAGTTCATTACCTTTTCTTTCAATACTCTGGAGCTTACATTTTACTATTAATAAAAATTCTTCCGAAGAGATTCAAAATAAGATATTCCTGCGAACTAGTTGAGGAATACCAAATTGTAGTTCCATTTGTGTTATTTGTGAATGACTCTTCACTAACAGACTCTAAAAATTATTATTTACATCAGTACTACTATCATTATTATATTAATTTCTTTTTTAATTTCTAAGACGAAAAGTTGGTAAATGGCGAATATTTCTCTTCGCGCTGCATTTTATTGTTTGTTCCCAAAAAGAAAAAATTATAGATTGTGTTCAAAAACTGTTTATCTTAGTTTTAAAAAAAGGTTGATAGGTATTTATTACATTTCTGAGTGTTCAAGTTTAAATGATTTAAGCCCCCTTGTAAAAATTCCAATGTGTTATCTGTAAAATCTATTCTGCGACATGTGTTCTTCAGGATGATCCAACCTATACCCTACGCCAACTTATCAGAACAAGCCCCCAAATTCTTATCGCCAGCCTGAAACTCGGGTCACGTGATCATCACCCCGATCTTATGCGACCAAGCATCGCATTATAATTATGTTATATAATAAATCTAAGCACACACGATTACTTTAGCAAATTTACCGCAGATCTAGGTGCGATTTTCACATTTGTTCACACACTTTTGTGAGGAAAGTGAATCAAGGCAATGTCAGACGTATGTCGTATAAATATATATGTACCCACATGTGTATATATCTGTGGCTTAACTTGAAATCTAAATTGTTTTTCGCGTGCTTATCAGCAGCCTGCACTGATTCCCCATTACTGTTCCAGACTGATGCATGGCATTCCAATGAGACTAAGGCGATAGGCAACACAACGAGGCAGACAAAGGCAATTTGAATGCACTTGATTAAATATGTGTAATGGTCTGATAATATAGTAAATGGAGTGCGGCCCTTGCCGATGCATACGATTAGAACGCAGTTTCTTGCCCATTCCTCTAGCAAATGAATACTTCCGCTCGCGTGGCACTACGTCGAGAATTTTTCGGTACATGCAACCCAAACAACAACTAAGTAAGTTCGCCGCCAGCCCACAACATCAAAGTAGCCGCATTTGTAGTGCCACCATCTCAGGGGCATTAAAAAAGGGACAATTGCATACAAATTTGCATTAACAAGAGGGTGTTTGAGCATTTGTATCTGCTTTGTATCTATTTCGGGTTGTTTGTTTACAAAACAACCGCCTGCTGCTCGGGCGTAGCTCTCTTTTTGTGTGGCCGCATTTGCCGCCTGAAAGCCACGCCCCCTCTGGCCATTAAAACCAGATCGCACAGCTACAACTGAATTTATATGTATGCTCTCTTCAAAAAGCGAAATGAGGCTTATGGGTTTTTTAAATGAATCTGGCTTACTCAGTAGAGCGCGCTGTTTGAAGCAACTGTTTGCATGTATGAACGCCTATATTCTGGAAGAGATATGAACTACGAAGCTCTTATAAGTATATAACAAATAATATTTGATAAGACATGTATGCAGACCATGAGTTTTCATATCTATTAATACTATACACCACAGCTATGCTATAAATACTTTGAATGACGACGAACGCTGCTACTCTTCCTAGACCTGTATTCGCAGTAGCGTTAATCGTCTTAGCTCGATATGGATTAGACTGTGTATAATTAAGCCAAAATCTAGTAAATTTCGTACGGTCGTACAGTCAGTATATTTCGCAATAGCGTCTCCACATTGAGTGGACCACCAAATTACAGAGTGTTTTATGGCCGTGCTTGCTCTCGCGGTTTTTTTCCTTCTGCATGTAAACAAGTTAAGAGAATGCGCTCATTGGCATGACTTGACAGAAATAAAGGTGTAGAGCAAACGCATTAAGATAAATATATGTTTATGCATACGTCAGATGAGTAAGCGCGGCGGCATAGTCGCTATCCCCCCCTCGCCCTCACCCTCCTCTAGGAACTTCTCGCGCATACGTCGTGCTATGCTTTGGGGAAATACCCAAACAGCAAAAACAAGTCGTGCAAAGTTCAACAAAAAACATTATACACATACATATGTATATGTATATATGAATGTATAAAAAAATGTATGCCAATTTTTAAGTTGTTTATCATTGACAACGGCAGCTCCTATGTTGTTGTTGTGATTGTTGTTGTATTAATAGCTCTACTTAGATGTGCGTCAACTTCTCAACTACTTTAAGGCGCATATGTAGAGGCTTGGCTTGGGGGTTCCCTCCACTAACTTATTACCTCTTTATTGATATTGTGTGCTCTGTTTATTGAACTGTCTCAGATTTTCCGGTCGATATATAATACAAACATGCATCCAAAGTGATTCCCAGCTTATTGGGCAAGACAAAGATAAAGAAAACATCAACATCAACTTTATGTCCAGGCCCTTGGCCTTTGTGGTTGCTGCCATGCCCAAAAAACCAACCGTCTGCACCGGTTTCTCTGTCAACTCTTTTGTTTAAGCTCGAATCGCAGATCAATTAAATGTGACGTCACCGCTGACGTTTAACACAGCAACTGCATTCATTCAAGTGTTTATTTTCATGAAGTTTCGCAACTCGGGTGCTCTTTGCTCAGCAGGTGAGCAAGCAACGAATCGGTTACCTGCCTGCCTAAGTGTGTACAACAGTCGGTCTGTTTGTCAGCCAAATTAACGCACTTAAGGCACACACGCCCA